CTTGCTAATGAGAAGCTAAGAGCTCAAAGCAGAAGACCTGATGAAACAACACACTTTGGTGCCTGGAATACAAAGCCGAAATAAGTACTCAGGAAGTTGTGCTTGAAGCTGGGGAATTGGTTCTGCCATACTTAATACTGTACTCCACACTGCACCGATAGACTGTGACCAGTGCGGACACTCACTGGATAAAACTACATCGGATCTCAGTCATTCCATGACCCGACAAATGGGATCTGAACATTCATTTGGCCAATGCAAGTGTCTGCCAATGCCAACAGATGCCAATAGTGGAAACACACTGATCAACCAAACCTGATGAAGTGTCTGTTGTCATTGGTCTGCGTCTGTTGGTGCCATGCGAATTGGCCTTATAGCACAAGCATTACTAAAGTCATTGATTTGTTTATAGGAAGAGGCTTGCTAGTAATGCATATGAAGAAAAATCAGGTTAATTTGGTTGCAATATTCAACTTTAAAGAGCACCTATGATGAAAATTATCTTTTGAAAGCTGTTTGGACAGAACTGTGTTAAGGTATAGTGTGTCCACAGTCATATTGGGGTGATATAAAGACAATAAGTCTCATTTTTAAAATTTCCTGACGTTAAACTAGGATCCAAATCCCATTCATTTTGAGGCCCACCGCGATGTGACATAGGAGTGCCGTTTCCATGCCCACTGAATCGATTGACAGCCACATATTAACACATCTCCGTAATTACGCGTATAATCATATCAGCAAGACAGGATGTGCGCCAAGCAACTGGGATTAAAATATCTGTTGAGCTTTCTGTGATCATCAATCATCAACAAATGTGATCAAGAATGATTTTACAAGTTTAAAATAACACAATGTGTAAAACAATGTGTGTTTGTCCTTACAGTGATTTTACTTTTCACCACAGCTGCATGTCAGTTATAAAAAATAACGCTTCAATCCCAGTTTGTGGACGTTAAATCAGGTTTATTTTGTACGTCAAGAACAGACATTAATGGATATCCAAACAGCAGTGTATATTAACGTGTCTGCTGTCAAATTTGCCATGCAAAAATAGTGCAAAATTAAATGCACATACTGTGTGTGTGAACTTTGTAATGAAATTGTGTGTGGCTCATCGTTGCAGAAAGGCATGAATTAACTCCACAACAAATACATCAAATAATCATTGGTTCTTACTGTAGTATTTCTCACAAACATTACGTGAGATCTGCTTAATTCATTTCTGTCACTGTGCTGTTTATTTGACAGAGATTAAGACATACTCTGACAGGCAAGTGGGAATGGTGGGCGGAGAGAACTAGCATTAAAGGCACAGGCAACAAAAACAGCTGCATTGTGTTCAGAGCAGAAAATTCGGTAACACTTTATAATAACTACACACTATGAACCATTTGATAAGCATTACCTAATAGTGAATGCAATGCAATACTTAATTTAGTAATGAAAAATGCATCATTAACAAATTATGAAAGTAAAATTATTAAGCACATTATAAATGTGGTTGTAAGTCAAGAATACAGCATTTGTATATGCAGTTATAAACTACTTACTGACGCTTATTAATGTAGAGTTATGCCTAACAAATAAGGAATTCATTAGATGCCAATGTTTAGTAAATGATTCATAGTGTGTAGTTATTATAAAGTGTTGCCGAAAATTTAAATAATCTAAAAGGTATAATCAATAATCTGATGGGTGTTTTGAGCTGAAACTTTACAGACACATTCTGGAGACACAAAAGACTTAAATCTTAAATCTTGAAAAAGTGGTAAAATAGGTGCTTTTTTAAGTTACAGACAGTAGTTTATTCGATCAACAGATGCGGTAGAAGCCTAATTTCAAGGTTTTTGCCATTTAGTTTTTACCATTTGTAGCCTTCTGAAAAAAGGAATCTGATACATTAAGTCATACTTGTGTTGACCAGTGAAGATTCTAAAGAGCCAAAGTCAACGAAAACATAAGTCCAATGTCATGTAGAGGATTTTGGTAAAGTCAATATGCAGATTTTCACCATATACATTAAGTAAACTTACTGTTAACCAGGTTATAGATTGTTAATGTAGCATTTTTACTGTGTTTAACATTAAAAATGTGGGCTTTTTTTACAGTTACTGTTTTAGACACAAGTTTTTCACACTTTTATTTATTTTTATTTATCCTGCAGGGCAGTGAAAGTGTAGAATTAAATAAGAATGAGGAAAATAAGGGACAAAAAAGAGTGACATTGACCTAGACATGATGCTTAAGAAAGAGATTTCAGAGACTGTAAACAATAAATTAAATGTTTTAGACACATTTGTGGGAAAGGTGATTGAAACCACAGTGGACAGATCAAGCAAGAAAGCGAAATAACCGAGACAGATATAGAGAGATTCGTTCGATTTATGCCTTCCCTTTCGTGTCTCACATCTCCAGCAGAGGCAATCAATGAGATATGTGTGAAAGCCTTGAAAAGATGCCTTTCTGAGAGCCCTTTTCCCTCCTTACTTCACTGAGAATTCTTTTTTTTTTATCCTGCTCGCCTCTGCCTGCCTTCTTTGACTCACACGAAACAAAACGACCAGTTACAGAAGCACCACTGTGTGAGTTTAAGCCGCCAAACACCACCCGGAGATCCTTCTGAGCTCGATGATGCTAGATTAGCTGGAACAAGTATATCAGTAGGACACAAAAAGAACACAGAGGGGTATAAGCGAGAGAGGACGCAGGAGGGGCCCAGCCCTCTTGTTATGCTAAGAGTGTCCCGAACGGTCCCGCTTGGTTCAAGTTAATTACGACCAACATTTAAATAAGAGCACTTGTCTTGAGGACGGTGGTTGGCTGCGGGAGAGACAGACCTCGTGCTAATTGTGTTTGTGTTTCCAGCTCCTCCCCTCATCTCCAGTCCTCTCTCAGTGTGAGCTCCTGCGGGACACGCTGTGTGAGCTGCAGCCCAATGAGAGGCTTTGGAAAATCGGATCTTGAAGGGTCCAAATCCTAGTCGTTATTCTGTAACTGGTTGCTTCTGTCTTTTCTTGTCTTGTGGATGGATGGGATTTTATTCTGCTGTAGAAATGGCTGTACACTTAAACCTGTCTGCTTCCTTTCATGCACTGTATGTAATTTCATAGATCAGACAAAAGGGTACATCTGTTCATGGCCAACAGATGCACCCTTTTGTGTCTTTCTTTGAGCTATGAAACTTAAGGCCATAAAGCAGTGTTTCGCACAATAACACACACTAAGAGGGTTAATGATTTGTTTATTGTATCTGAATGGTGTACAGTTGTGCTCTGTATGTGCAATTGTCTGTGCGGTAGAATATCTATTGTCTGTTCAGTTTGTTGGTTCATTGGTGTGTGCCGTCATTATGTAGTGTTGTTATGTTTTCTTATGTATGAGAACGTATTATTTTACCTCAAAATGAATGTAGGGATTGAGTAGGGCTGCACAATTAATCGAAAAAAGATTGCGATCTTGATTCAACCACTACAAGATCCTAATTTAACATCTCTAGAATTCAGCTATCTATATTTCCAAGTTTAGGAGAAGAAAAAAGATGGTCGCACAAGTCTTTACATTGTTTTATAGACATTTCTCAGCAACATGGACACCAAATATTGTTAAGTGTCACATACTTTATTTATAAAGTGTAATTCAAAAAAATGTGTTTCTGTCTTAATGTAATGATGTTTCTGTGGTTTACTACCAAGAGGACGCACGCGTTCGCGTAAATGATATCTACTTTAGTGTACAGAATCTGCTTAGACTGTAAAAAACAGGTATAAAGTTGTAAATAACATTCAATTTATTGCACAAAGCAATCGTTTGAGAGCCGCATGGAAAATATGATTTGCGTGTATGTATTTTTCCCTCAAAGTGGCAGCAGCCATAACGTGAGCTACATTCGGCATTGAAAGTGAAACTAAAACCGCGCACCTCATTTACATGATCCTATCGCATTTTAGAGTTATGATTACAACAAACATTTGATACGTTTTTTTCTTTTATAGCGAATACAAAGCGATGTGCATGAAAAAAAAGTTTTACCGTGTCACTATAACTACTCTAGCCTATATAATGTTGAATAAAATGCAATAGGGAATCTGATAATAACTAATGTCTCATTTTACCAGTGAAAAAAATGGTCTAATAATGTTGCTAATGACAAATTGCAAGAATATCTCTCAAACATTATAATTCAACTTCAGAATTATGAATTAACGACCAGGACTAATTTAAAGTTTATAAGTCCACCATTCCAAATATATACAAAATTAAGCATTTTAACCAGTAGAGCTACACACAGGCCTAATATTATTGTTGTTTTGCCATATATTTGAGAAATAACAATATTTTAATAATAATAAAAGCCTACTCATATTAACCTATTTTACATCTACAAAATCGTGAGAAAATCATGATCTTGTTTTTATGCAAAAAAATAATAAAAAAATTATTCTCGTTTTAGCCAGAATCACGCAGCCCTAGGATTAAGCTAGAATTATACTCTGCTTTTTAAATTTGCTTGGACATGCTGTAAATTAATTAATTAAAAAATTATTTTAAAAAAAATTGGTGGGCATATGCCAGAGTAAAAGTTTGGTCAATATGTTTGAACACTGCTGTTCAAAGGATTTAATACTTAAAAAAGGCTATTATGCTCCATTGCATATTTGATCAATAGTAAGTAAAAATGTGGCATTTTAAAATTACCCATTTAATGGCAAACTATAGTTTTTTAGCCATGATGCTGATTTTAAGTATCTACAGAAAATGTTAGGTCAGGTTAGGTTAGGTTAGGTTACTTTATTCATACCCGAAGGTAGATTTAGTTTGCAGTCCTCATTTCATAACAGTGCCAAATTAAAAATCTTGCATAGTGAAAACAACAAATAGACAACGACATGAAACATAAACATATAAAACACTTTCCCAAAAAAAAAATTATTATGTATTTTTAATGTGAATTGCAATCCAAGAGGTTAAAGCAAACCCTCTGTTGTTTTTGTCTTTAGCAATGGCAGATTTTCATGTCCAGCCAGAGTCAGTGCGTGCAGACGTGGGAGGAGTTGGCCGATTTCAGTGCCAAATTCATGGCCTGCCTGAGCCGGTCATCAGCTGGGAGAGAGACGGGCGGCCTGTGGACACCTCTGATGAGAGGTACGGTCACACATTAAATACACACAATAACATTTAAAGAGATGCAGTCTGTGATGTTGGCACATGTCTCTGCTTCACTCTTGGCCTGTCTTTATGTGTGACCGTTCTGTGCAGGTTTACTCTGTTGCCCACGGGTGTGCTGCAGATAACGGGTGTACGGCCTGAGGACAGTGGGGTTTACTGCTGTGTTGCCCACAACAGTGCTGGAGTCAAACACAGCGCAGGAGCACAGCTCACAGTCTCAGGTATGAGCTACATTTCTCTTCTTCCTTGTGTCTTTATAGGTCCTTTTCTTTTTGTAGAAACAAGTTATAGCGTTTCTTAAAGTTTTATTATTTTTAGTAGGCATGCACTGGTAAACCAGTGGTCCTCTTATCGAACTAAAGCTCTGCCTTTTCATTTATTTGGCTAGAGGAGAATAGTTCCCTGACAGAACCTGGTTTCTGCCATGGTTTCCATTAAAGGAACACTACATTTTTTTTTTTAATTAGGTTAGTTTTACAAGTGCTGCCTAAAGTTAAACTGGTCTGGTGGGAGCACTTGATTAGACTTAGATTTTGACTAGACATGATTAGCATAAATCGTTGAATAGGATTAGACTATTGGGATTTTGCTCAAAATATTCAGAAACGTATTTTGACAGATTTCCCATTTAAAGCTTGACTCTTCTGTTGTAGTTACATTATGTAGTAGCTAGCTAACAGTGCTGCATTGCGCCTGCTGCAGCCATGGTATGCCATCAAATTCCTTGATTATTTCACCAGAACGAGAACATAGGAAATAATGTCAATGTACTAGAAAATATTTTCATTTCAAGTTTTTATTATCTTTTGCTCTGATTTTTTTCAATGGTCTTTTCTAAGCTAATATATAAGTACTCCCACCAGACCCGAAGTTCAGCTGAATGGATTTTAAAATGGTTAATTGGTAGATTATTGGTTCTTCACCACTTTCTTTGCCTTTTGGCTTGCTTAGTTAGGGTCAGTAGAGCTGCCCTACAGTGATTCACGTCCTTCAACAATGAAATTCATATTGAACTGATCTTAATCGCCATTGAATTTAAACAGAACCAGCATTTGATTGACATGAATGTACAGTACCAAATGAACTGAACTTCTTTCACTGATAAAACTTCATATCTGATTTTTGATTATAGCCTGTCTTCTTTTGTCAATGCAACTCAGTTCAATTCATATTTATTGCTATGGCACTTTTACTATGTAGATTGTGTCTAAGCAGCTTAACATACATAATTCTAGTAAATTGAAGCTTTCTGAAAACAGTCCAGTTTTCAAAGTTGAAGTTCAGTTCAGCGTGGTTTAATTTTCACTGCTGAAAGTCTAAACACTGAAGAGCAAATCTATCGATGCACAGCTCTGCAAGTCCCAACTAAACAAGCCAGTGGTGACAGTTGACAGTATGAATATAAAGTGCGATATCATTAAAAAGGATATTACTTGACTAGATTTACCTTTCTCTTTCTGAAGGCTCCCAGTCATCTGTTTACAAAGAACCCATGATCCTAGTAGGTCCTGAAAACCTCACCCTTACGGTTCACCAGACCGCCATCTTGGAGTGTGTTGCGACGGGTTACCCTCGTCCAATCGTGTCCTGGAGTAGACTGGGTAAGACTCAATGTTGATCTGAAAATTGCCATGAGTAGTTCTCCGAGCAAAACTCAGCTCAGTTCCTGCAGAAATGCAGCAAAGAGCTTTAATATGCTCTCAACTACACAGACTGTAAAATACCCAATCAATTGAAAAAGAGAAAAGGGAAAAATATCCTCCAGCAAGGTAATGTAACATGAAGGAGGACGAAGATTAGATAAAATGAGTCAGTGGATGTACTGTATGTCTGGAAAGATCCTCTTGAAAGGGTCATACCCTAAATTATTTATAAGTATCAACCTATTTTTTCTCCCTTGAGCCCAATTATGCTGTCTGGCACAGAAAATGTCTTAGTTTAGTTAAAATTAAAGGACTAGTTAACTAGAGTGGTGAAAGGAAAATGTCATCTGTCACAGACTGTTTATGTTTTAAACATCATCAACTGCCACTTTTAAAAGTCTTCTCTTTATAATGTCTTATTTTATGATGTTTGTAATATGATGGTGAGTTTGAGATAAGCAATATTTTTATTAATTTTTAAAAAATTGTTAATCTATTACTTTTATTTAGGAAGCACATTAAATTGATCAAAACTGATCACATTAAAAAAACACCACCAAAAATAGTAAAATAATGTTTTCTTTCAAAAATATAAAGCAGCTTTAACTGTTCTCACATTGATAATTGTTAGAAAATTGTTAGAGTTTTTGGCACTAAAGGCCTGATTAAAATGTTATGATTATTAATAATTGTAATTGTAATTCATAACATTACTGTTTTTACTGTTAAAGCCAGACTCTGACTATAGGAGTTTTAAAATCCTAACCTATAATAAAATCTAGTTGCAGCGCACACATGAGGAGAATCTTCTGTGATTTTATTACCTCAAATCTTAAACGTGCGCACACTACAAGATATGAAAACTGCAGCACAGCACACACTAGAAGATATTAAAATTATCGTGCTCGATGGAACACATTACCTGATTGCAGAATAACTCACTTTATCAATAATTTTTATTTATTATAGGCTAGGTTGCGAATATTTGACCGACTGCCACTACATGCAAAACACTCACAAGCACTCAAAATAGGTTCCCGTTTGTGTAGCTGTTAGTGGCAGTTATAAAATAAATAAAGCGGCATATCTGCATACAAAGTGTCTGTTCATTTTCCTTTGTTCATTTTTCTTTCACACACAGAATGAAAAAGTGCTGCTTGTTGAATTGAGCACATTATGTTCAATCGAATGTCTAATAACAATAATAATATGAATAAGCTAATAATATATTCATAATACTGTGATGTGCTGTGCATCTTTTGGTAGCATAAAATGCTGTGGAGAGAATAAAGTATTGTCATGTGTTTTTCCTGGTAATATTATTTATAAAGTAGATGTTAATTAATCAGGTTTTGTTAAAAACCCAAATAATAAAAGCAATAAAAATGTAAAATAATAATAATAAATTAGTTAAAAGTAGTAACAATGGAATGATACAAAGAGAAAGTACTCAACTACTGAAATGTATTTAGTACTTTAAATAAAAGTTTTTTTTGGTGATGACAGCTTAAAGACACCTCTCGTAGGCAGTTGCATGCATTGCTCAGGTGTTATTTATTTATTTATTTTTCAGAGTGTAAACACCTTGATTTTTCTGTGGTTCTTGTCTTTCAAATCTGATTTTCATTTAGTGTTTTCTATTGGATTCAAGTCAGGTGATTGACCGGGCCATTCTCCAACTTGATTTTTTTTCTTTCTCTGAAACCATTTGAGAGTTTTCATGGCCGTTTTGGATCATTGTCTTACTAAAATGTAGGCCTGTCATAATATCTATTTTTTGTTGTACGATATATTGCACCAAAATATTGTGATAAACAATATTATTGTCATTTTAAGACCATTTGTTGCCACTTATTGTAAGTACACTCTTCCAAGAAACATAATATTTTATTCCTAAGAATATTTCAATTAATCAAAGTCATTTTAGCAATTTAGTATTGAAATCAGAATGTGAAAACGTACATAATATATAATAATAAATGGTAACAAAAAAATAACACGCTGCGATATCTGGTATCAGATCTATTTTCTGTTGTCAGACACCCACATAAAAATATACCAAAGTAATTTATAGTAGATATACTGTTTTTTAACAATACTGACACTGACACCTTCAGTAGAGATAGAGAGGTTGTACATCAGCTATAATGTTGCTAGAATTGGGTTTTATGGATGGGCGATATATATTGCATCACCAAAAATGATTGAGGTTGTGTCCATGTGTTGTGCGATAAGTTGATATACTGATTATTGTGACAGGCCTACTGAAATGTCCACCCTGGTTTTATCTTCATCATCCTGGTAATGTAGATGTCCAACTGAAGCAGCTAATATTAATTCACAATGATGAAGGGTAGAGGGTCATTTTCTAACTACTGAGGGATTTCAGCTGCTGTCTGGGCTTTCACTGCCTTTCTACACCTCCCTTTTTCATGTGTTTGATACTTTTTCCCTGTGTCATTTCATTTTATTTCTCATAACATAATTTGTAAACTAATTAGTTTTGTTTTCTTTGCTTATATGGTTTTCTTACCAACAGTGGGTGAACATTTCAAGTCAACATCACCTTTTGAAATGTTTTCTGAGAAAAAATTGTGACGTGTTCTATACTTATTTTCCCCACTGTATTTCTTTTAAAACCTTTACATAAATCTTTCATAAACTCTAACTTTCGAATGGTACACCACTAGCAGAGTACATCAAACTATTTGTTTCAAAGTGCAGGATATTCAGTATTTGATGATATGACCCCATTTTTAAAAAAAATGGCTGTCTTATTAAATTCATTTACACTCCAATCTACTAAAGGCAAATGGTTTGGAATGGTGAAAGAAATACTCTCTCATCCTCCTGGCTAAGAGATGGATATTACAGATGGAACTGGCTGATAGTGTACAGTGAGATTGGTTTCTGTGTGAAAAATAGCTCATTTATTTTTAAACGCGCTCCTAGTTCTGAAGCCAAATGCTTGCAGACGTTTTTCCTCATCGAACGCTCTCGGCCACATCTGTCTGTCTTGTCTTGATTAGGATTAATGGACATAAAAGTATCTCATCTATACTTCTAAAGTAGTGCTGTAGAGTAAGTAATGTCATTTTTCTGTTGAAATGTGTCTGTATTTATGTATGTGTGTGTTCCTCTTGCAAGCATCAGATTTACATTAAAATAAGGACATGGCTGGTGGATTTGTCTTCTAGTGCATCTCATGTTAAGGCCCGTACCTTTTGCTTTTTGCAATTAAAAAAGCTGTTCAGACTATATCGATATATTTTGGGGGTTAACACAACCTACTTGTGTTTCTTCTCTGAGGCAAATTAAACGCTCTCTCTAAAGCAAGATTTCACAGTGCCTCCCACACTCGTATAATAATCTGTTCTCAACTCCTCGCTATCCCAGCGATTACCTAATGTGATTCTCCCATTAAGAATGTAAATGATGGTGTCTTTCTTTAACGGCTGCTAATCAGATTGTGGATATTACCTTCCCGCAATGTTGCTGGAATTAACTGCAAGCACAATGGGATTTTGCTGGATTAGATTACAGCGAGAGCAAATGAAGGCTAAGCTCAGTAATGAATGTGAGAGATCTCCAACAGTTAGTGATTAACGCCATTCGGCATTTATGTCATCTTATTTGGGAGCCAGTGATTTTGAGTTCAGTATGCTTCAATGTGCATTACTGAGCATACATCTTGATTCACATCTTTCTGAACGCACACATTTGTTATAGGCCTGGTCAGGAAAACATAATTCATTCATTAATTTTCCTTCAGCTTAGTCCCTTATTTGTTAGGGGTCGTCACAGCGGAATGAACCGCCAACTGTTCCAACATGTTTTACGCAGTGGATGCCCTTCCAGCAGCAAATCAGTATTGGGAAACACTCATTCGCTCTCTTATTCACACAATCATACACTACACCCCACATAGTTAATCCAGTTAATCCACCTACAATGCAAAAAATGCTTTTCTTACTTAGATTTTTTGTCTTGTTTCTAGTCTAAATATCTCACAATTCTTAAATTAAGAAGAATTTTCTAGACAAGCAAAACATATTGTCTTGTTTTCAGCAATAATATGCCAAAATTAAGTGAGTGTTTTCTTAAAACAAGCAAAATAATCTGCCAATGGGGTAAGCACAATAATCTTGTTTTTCCTTTTGACATAAGATTATTTTGCTTACCCCATTGGCAGATTATTTTGCTAGTTTTAAGGAAAAACTCACTTGATTTTGGCATATTATTTCTTAAAACAAGACAATATGTTTTGCTTGTCTGGAAAATTCTTCTTGATTTAAGAATTGTGAGATATTTAGACTAGAAATAAGACAAAAAATCTAAGTAAGAAAAGCATTTTTTGCAGTGTATATCGCATTCAATTGAACTGTTTGGGAAACCAGAGCACCCGGAGAAAACCCACACAAACACAGGGAGAACATGCAAACTCCACACAGAATGCCAACTGGCCCAGCTGGGACTCGAATCAGCAACCTTCTTGCCGTAAGGTGACACTGGAAACCACTGAGTCTGTTTTTGCTGCCTGTAAATCATAATTCAAACACGTTGTCTTGTGAAACAGATTAGCTAGGGCAGCTGCATCTGTAACTTAAAATCTATTCCTGTTCGCTGTTTTGAGCCAGATGATGCTTTTATAGTTTAGCTAGGAAAGTGATGAAAAGTTGTACTTTAAATAATAAAGTGGGTAAATAACATTAAAGTGACCACACAAATCAATGACATTCATTAAAATCATTAATGATCAGGGGCTGGAGCTTTGATATTATGTTCTGTATGATGCTTTTTACCATAAGCTGAAAGAAAATGAACAAATTTATGTTATATAGGATAGCCAGCGTGTAGGCTTCCCAACAATCATTTAAAAAACTGCTTAGATGAGTCAAGGCCAATAGCCTAGTAGTAAAGTGCGTCGACATATAGCAACAAGGTGCTTACGGCGACCCGAGATGCTCGAGGTGCTTTGCTGATCCCTCCCCTCTCTCTGATCCCCATGATTTCCTGTCAATTCTCTACACTGTTCTGTCCATTAAGGTTAAAAAGCCTTAAAAATAATTATTAAAAAAAAAAGTTTGTTGTCCCAATACAGCTATGACAAATATCAAGAGACCACTTTGAAATTTTATAGTTTCTCTGGCTGTATTGGTTATTGTTAGACTAACAGGTTCATATTTGTTTTATTCTTAAATAGTGTACTACAGTGTCTTAAAATCATTAAAAAAGAGAAAATCATTATTCCATCAAATATTGATTCATTAACACTTCTGAAGTTAAAACATGGGTATTTTATTGTCTAAAAATTAATACAAACAGGTCTAAAAATATAGAAGCTTTTTAGGTATTTCATATGAAAAGCAAATCCTCTAAATGACAGCATTTTAATTTTATTTTATTTTACATGTCAACGATAGTTTAGACAATAAAACAAATATCTTATTTCACTCTGAAATCTTACTACAATTTTTTTAATCCAAACAAACTGGATTTTGTAGTTGCGGATTTTGTAGCCGCAACCCAGTACTGGGAAACACCCATACCCTTACATTGACACACATGCTCATACACCGCGGCCAATTTAGTTAATCCAATTTAATTATAGTGCATGTGTTTGGACTGTGGGGGAAACCAGAGCACCTTGAGGAAACTCATACACGGGGAGAACATGCACACTCCAGGTAGAGATGCGAATTAATAAAACATGGAATATTTTATTTTGATCTATTGTTCTTATCTTAAAATAAAGCTATAAATGTTAACTACTAACTATTTTTGCTAAATATTATTATTACATGTCATTTAAAAAGTTGCAATCAGTAGTTTATAAAATGAAACCTTTTACTCAAAACACATACCTACTGTTATAACAAACGCACAAATCCAGTCATTTTCAAATAATTTATCTTTTCCCCGAATTACAATCTGCATATGTATGTGAATGTAAATGTAGTGTACATATCCTAAACCCCCAATACTTCCTATTCAGCATCTCTGCCGTATTTCAGTAAACCCACTAGCACCAAAGCCTAAAAAGCATGCATCTCTAAATACAGACAAGTGTTGTTATCATTAACTGTGTGAAAACTGACTGAGAAGCTCCAAACAGCTGCTGAATGAAAAGTGGAAGTGTTTGAGCACCTCACAGCAGATGCCAGTCAATTAAACCTGGTGATATGTGAACCTCACCCTGGCGCAGTTTCTAACACCGTGCCTAATGTCATTTTGACAGGCACATTAACAAAACAGAATGCGAGACCTGAGAGGCCTGTGATATGAATGGAAAATGTGATTAGAGGGATTGTTAATTTTTATGAGCTTTAACTTTTCCTCGCTGAGTGTCCAATAGAGCTACTCAAGGCTGTGAGGGTCCTGACTGATGCGGTTTACTGTAGTCTTCTACGCATGTATGGGAGATGTCTATAATGTATGGTATATCATGCATCATTAGCATTTATGGGTCATCTCACTTGTCTAAAGTGCTCCTTTTTGGACCCTTGCTTTTATGTGTGTGCATTTATTTATTTATTTTTTTGTATTTCTTTCTCTCTGACTTTTACAGTCTCTTAAGATGTTCCTTGCCCCAGGCCAGAGCGATGGATAGTGCTTTGTGTGCCATAATTAGTCACATTTAACCAGTGCGGTTAAATTCAGAAGCTCATCACATGCTTCTGTTGTCCTGTTAAATTCATTTTTAGTTCCTGTGGGGCAGGAAATTATTTTATGGCTGGATGAACATGCGATATTTATCTTCTCTCTGATGCCTCTGTTTAAGCATATTTAAATGATCTCTTTAATTCTCTTTGAAAAGAAACATGCATTATGACCTCGTTCTGTTGTCTTTGATTTGTTTACATAATAACATTGTGCTTCCATCTCTCCTTTAGATGGACGGCCAATAGGAGTTGAGGGCATCCAGGTACTAGGAACAGGAAACCTGATGATCTCTGATGTGAGAGTTCAGCATTCTGGCGTTTATGTCTGTGCGGCAAACAAGCCAGGAACACGAGTGCGCAGAACTGCTCAGGGACTCCTAGTTGTGCAAGGTGAGGCTTTTTGGGTACAAAACTATGAACTTAATATTTGTCTATTGAAATCACGTGAATAAAAAAACAGTTGAGGTGTACTTTAGATCATTTGATGCAGTGCTTCCACAGAGCTTCTGAGGTTTCACATTTATATTGTGGGGTGCTGTTAAGAATCTTCTGAAGTCGTAATGGATGAAAAATCTGAAACAAGACATGAATTAGACATGATTGAGTTGAGTTCTTATACAAGTCATTATTTTGAATTGTTCTGGTTTCTATAAGGACAAAGACTTTGACAGAAAAGCTTTTTTTTTTAGTTTTGTTTGGTTTGTTTTGTTCAGTTTTTCTTGAGGGAGAGGGTTGTTTTGTATTTGTTGTTTAGCTTTTTCAACAGGCTTATTTTTTGGTTCTTTTTTACATTATTGACACTTAAAGGGACGTACTGTATTATCAATAAATTAAAGAGCCCATATTATACATGAAATAGGGTCATATCTTGGTTGTAAGGGTCTCCAACAACAGTCTAATATGATTAGAAGTCTGATTGAAGCACGCCTCCACAAAAAAGATAAAAGCAGTGTAAAATTAAGGTAAAACTACTTATTACTGCAAAACTCCCCTTACTGTAAAACACATTTTACTTGACTGTCCTTAATCTTTTAATGACTTTATGAAATTAACTGTCTTATGTACATTTTTTAAATGTATTAACAGTAAACATCTTATTTAATTCATATATTCATTTGTTTGTTGTTTTTAATTGTGTATTTATTATTGACATGTTCTTGCCATGAAAATAGCCTTGGTTTCTGACATGGCATTAAATAGAAAATACATTACATTACATGGTTGGAGGGCACTTTTTTCTACATTTGCTTTTTGTTTGGGTTGAAGGAAGGGTTTAGGTTAGTGGTTCGCTGGACGAGGTGATCTGCATGACAAACCCCGTCTTCTCTGTGTATTTGAAATGCACAGTAAAATATACCCTACATAACTTTAAAATTGTCAACAACACCCTCTATTGGATTTGTCATCTAAAACATGCAACAAAATGTACACAGAGCAACCAATTTTACAAATATGTAAACTGAGGGAAGTATTTCCAATGAGCCTAGTTTTTTTTTTTTTTTTTTTTTTTTTTTTTTTTTTGCCAAACTATGAAATTTGCCCATGTTTAAAGTCTGCATTTTTTATTTTTTATTTTTTTGTATTTTGACATGGTTCCTAGAGAACTGAAATATTAATTAAGAAAACAGTGGGTGTGGCTTGTTTTTTGCTTTGAGTTGATTGGATGTAGTAAAGTATGCATTTCATTTGGATGATTGGGAAAAGGCTTTCGGGACAGTTATTACAACCTAACAGACTCCTCCTCCTCTCCAGTTCTGTTTGTTGTCATAGTGCTGTCAAAACCGACAGGTGGAGGTGCATGGTTAAGTATGTATACCACACCTCAGACAGATGTAATCTGAGAATTTAACTAAAAACTAACAGGAAGTACATTCTATTCAAACAATAGTTTTATTCTTAATGACATGCACAGATGAATTGCTCACCTCCAAACTAGCAATGTGAGTTAACAAAATCAATATTTTTAATTTTGATTTTGTATGTACTCATGTAATTAGTAATTATGAAAAAGAAACAGCCTGAACTGAAAGACAGAGATTCTGTTCTTTCTTCTGAGAATTTTTTAAGAGTTCTTTCTTTTGGAATATTCATATTTTTACATATTTATGCAACAAACATTTGCGATTTTATTTTTTATTATTATTTAAATTTCATTATACAATGTACACACAGCTCACTCCTAAACTTTCTCACTTTTGAAGAGAAAAAGCACAAACATTGGACAAGAAAACATCATTCCAATTCAATATCAACTGTAATGTTCTCTCTAAGGCTGCACATTCAACTGTTTCATGATGCTAACATATGCTTAAAAAAAACAGAAGTACACTTAATGCTTTACATTGCGTACTATATCCAAACGATCAGACTGCAGCTGCCTTTGAAGTTCCTGTCTGAATCTCAGTGGGTGTAAACCATGATACCGCAAGCAGCGCTGTAGGTGTAGCTGAGAATTGATATGATCTTAGTAGCCAGATGGTGCAGCAGCCTCTTGCTTAACTGTAATACACTTAAGAATAGAGAAGGGAGAAAGAGAGAGAGAGTGTTTTTTTTTTTTAATTATGTACAAATTCGTAGTAATAGAGAAAAAATGAAATCCCAAGAGACAAATGGGGAGAAAAATGGGAAGATAAGAAAAAAGAAAGAGGTGGTTCAGTTGATGTATCACAGTTGCACATCAATACTCACTACCTCAGCCCATCCCCCTTCTCTCTATATCTCTCTCTGTCTTTGTCTCTCTCTCTCTCTTGTGCACTCAGGGATAAGAGAAGAAAAAAGTGAGCACTAATTTGCAGGGGTTGTGAGAAGCACTGGACGGACCTGTGAGAGCAGTTAGATCCTCTCATCATTTATTTATTGAGGGAAGCTGCTAACACTAAAAATACAGGAGAGGCACTGAGAGTGGGATCAACACTTGGCGATTAAAGGACTTCAATAATTAAAGCCATTGCACCCTGAACGAATATGAAAGCAGTGACGGTAATTAAAATGGATACAAATGAGCAAACCGGTTGCTAATCAGTCAGCAGTTTCAAATTCACCCAGATTAAATGTGTCCTAATTAAGCGGTAAAAGTCTATTGGATTAGCTGTGTCAGTTGGCAGTATTGCCATGCGGTGAGTGAGCCTGGTGAGGTTTGGGGCCGCAGAAGGAGCTGGGAATAGGTGTGCGGTCCAAATATCTCATCCTAGACCCACACATCTGTTCCGCAGTGCTTAATCTGTTTTAATTTTCACACCGTGTCATTTATGGATTGTCAGTTTCCTCTTCTAGCCCAGTGAAATCTGTTTTCGCCCCACTCTAATCGACGCTTTGTTGAAGTTTATTTCTGCTGCCACCCACTGCTGTCACAATACATTCATTATAAATGTGACGAAGCAAAAGCCACGTAGACAGTCTTCTCCCTCCCTCTCTCGGCGCTCCGTGCCCTGTGGTTTTCATCTACAAAAATGCCTATTTCCGTTGATAATAAATACATGACATATAGAAATAGAACTTTGGTGAGACATTAGTGCAGAGGAGCCCATGTTTAAAGGAATAGTTCACCCATAAATAGAAATTGCCTCATCGTTTACTTTCTCTTGTGTGGTTTGAATCTTTAAGAGTTTCTTAACACAAAAGAAGATATTTTGCTTTTGCAGAATGCTGGCTGCTGACACCATTGACTTCCATAGTAAGAAAAAAAAATACTATGTGTGCCAGCATTTTGTTAAATATCTTCTTTTGTGTTCAAAAGAACAAAGAAACTCAAATAAGTTTTGAACAAGTGAATGGTGAGTAAGTGATGTAAGAGGTTTCATTTTAACTTAAACATTAAAAACTGAACTACACTGTTCCAGTTACTGAACCACACTGTTCCAGTTACTATGACCATTTATGTGAAGCTGCTTTGACACAATCTACATTGTAAAAGCGCTATACAAATAAAGCTGAATTGAATTGAATTGAATTTAATTTTTAAATGAACTATCCCTTTAAGTCATCTACTTTAGGTTATTTACCTTTTAAATTTGAAGGTTTTAGATATTATGATTTAAAATTTGCAATGTTTATTTTGCTAGCCCACATTGTTATTCTTTAGGTAGACACTTAATCTGTGCAAACTAATTCACAGAGAAAAATGTTTTGGTAATTTTAAACCTAAGTCCAACCATTTGCATTTGGAGTGGCGGTTTTTCTCTGTTGATGTCAGTTTCACAGCTTCGGCTACAATATTCTTAAATATTTTTAACAATTCGTTTAGGGATATTAGTTTTTTTCTACCACATTATTTTTTACCAACGTTATTAAGGCAAATAATTTTAATAGTCAAAAACAAAAATATTTAAACAAAAAAATCTGATCTCTTTATAATTAAATAAGCATACGTGTCAAAGACACTCCTAATCTTGATAAATAAAATGTTACAAAGTGTGCGCAATGGTAAAGCATAAACACTGAACTATCAAAGCAAACTTTAAGGTAGATCAACATCTGTAAGGTGTGAATATGATACTCTAAACCTCAAACTCTGTAAACAAAAGAAATTATGATTACTGCTCTAAAATATATATTTTTAAATCTCAGGGTAAAAAAAACTAAAACTTTTTTCCTCTTTGAACAGAATATATTTTATTTTGAAAAACATTTCAATTATTTTGTAGCGGTAAACATGGCAGGCTGAATAATTTAAATAAATCATTGACTTCTGCTGTCTTCATTATTTTCAAAAAGATTTCTTTACAATTTAAAATGGCATCATTGGACATATTTTCTGCTGGAGATACTGTTGTCCTTAAGAAAATGTAAATAAATAAAAAATCTTACACATACTTTAGGATATTTTGGTGGTTTTAAAACCTTGACTTTTTCAAGCCACAGTAAACCTTGAAAACAGTTATCGTCCCATGCTTATTCTTAACTATCTTAGGGTGCTTTCACACCTACACTTTTGTTTCGGAACGTATCTCGTTTGCCCAGTTAGCGCGGTTCGATTGGCATATGTGAACAGGGCAATCGCGCTCTGTTCCGCGCCAAAGTAATCGCTCCGAGATCGCTTGAATGAGGTGGTCTCGGCTCGATTGAAACGAACCCTGGAGCGGTTCGATTGCAGTGAGAAAGCGATCCGATCCGAGCGCGGTTATATCACAGTGTTTTATGGATATGTAATAGGCTTACGGCTATATGAAGAGAGAATTATGATTAGGGCGGGAAGTTTCGCGAGTCTCCGGATGCCCGCAAACGAGTGATGATCTCCCGGTAATCTCGCGTCTCTCTCCCAGTCCTCAAATAGGCATCGTCGCGCACCCTTCTCACCCCTCCCCACCGCATCTCTCCTCAGACACGTCGCGCGCGCACCCTGTCAATCACCACCAAACCACCACCTCTCCTGACAGCTGAGCGGGACGCTGCAAAATAAACCCTGACACTCTGACCAATGTAAGGAGAGTTTCCCCGCACGTGACTTGTTTTAGCTCTTTTGGACCGATTAGAAACTTTGCAGTGTGAAAGTGAACCGCTCCAAGAGCAAAGAGCAACAATGTAACAATTTTAATCTCTGTTTCGGAACAACTGAATCGATTCACAGGTGTGAAAGCACCCTAAATTTTAGTTTGCTACAAGGCAATGATGTGCAAAAAGAAACCCCTGCTCCTTACTCAATATTCCGTTTCAGTTGGAAGTACATCGACATAAAGCATCTTCCAGTTCATGTGGAATTTAATGATCTCTCATTTTCTACCTCCAATAACTGTAAATCTTTTTCTGTCTGTCTTCAGCCCCAGCAGAGTTTGTGCAGCCCCCTCAGTCTATTGCTCGTCCTGTGGGCACCACTGCCATCTTCACCTGTCTGGCCCAGGGTGAGCCGGTCCCCCAGATCACCTGGCTGAAAAATGGACAGATCCTAGAACCTGATGGCCATGTCAAACTCAGGAACAATAACAGGTGAGCTGAAGAGACTCGCATGTATGTAATGATGTTTGTATGCAATGTCATTTTATGCTATAGTGTCTACACTTTTTATTTCTTCATCTTTAATTCATGTTTATTTCTATAGCGCTTTTACTATGTAGATTGTGTCAAAGCAGCTTAACATAGAAGTTCTAGTGGAAACCATATAATTTTGCGATATATTTCTACACACAAAAGCGTTTCATTGAAAACAATCCTGACAAAAAAAAAAGCACTGCAATAGTTCTAATGTGTCGATGGCATCACAATTACAAATGATTCAATTATATTTCCTGGTGAGTGTTATTTTTCTAATAATTTAAACTCCACAATTAGTTATTTGAAATAAATGCCAATTTTAGGTAAAAATAATTTGGTAATCCGTTTACTTCACACCGTTTTAGTATTTTAGCTCAATAAGATTTTATCTAAATAGGGGCCAAGCACCGAAGGTGAGTAGGCACCTATTGTATCCGTTTTTATTATTATTTTTTCAACTTCTTCTTCTGCTCTGGGAGTCTAAGGCAGCTCTATGTACCGTTTACGCCATTTGTGCATACTCTGGCACACTGATAAAGGACAGTCTGATCTTCAACCACATCAAAATTGAACTCTCTATCTCAAACTCTCTAGCACTTGTCCAAACTTTCACTTATGTTTTTTCTATAACCTTTGAACCGAATGGGCTACATTCAAATTTTTTTCTCTTGCTAATTCAAGGGAATGCCAATTCAAACGCACCCTATGACCTAATTTTCTGTCTTACTTTTTTTTTCCCTATTTCAAAATTTTTGTAAAACCTATTTGAATTAACTTTTTCTAGGCCGTTTGTCCGTTTTTTTTTTTTTTACCAAAATTAAATCACATGATCTACAGACCATGCTGAACAAAAGTTTTTGAATTTGAGTTGATTAGATGAACCATTTTGATTAACTTGCAAACAAATTTAACGTAGAGCTTGCAAAGATTGACTTAAGGTGAAACTAATTATCTTTGTAACTCATTGACGTTTTCTCACCAAACTTGATGTGTGTTATCACAACGATGGTCTGAAGTGAAATGCAGCATTTTGGCGCACTGCCCTCTAGTGATCCGGAGATACAAAAAAAATGTTTTTTTTCTTATAACAAAATTAATAAGATTGATCTCTTTACGTCCGGCAGAGCATGTCAGCCATTTTGGCCATCAGCCATTTTAATTGTCAAAAATTGCTATATTTTAAGAATGCATCGGCGAATTGTTATGAAAGTCGATATGTTTTTTTGGGACTGTGCCCTGAATGTGATCAAAAAGTTTCATCTCAGTACCACCTTTTGGTCAAACGTTATAGCGATATTTCTAAAAATGGTAATAACTTTTGACTAATTTTGCCTATTGTTATGAAACTTGTCTTTGATACATTCCTTGGGTGTCCTGAGAATATCGATACCAACTGTGCCTTAATTAACAGAACTTACTGTCTGCCATCTAGCCTCAAGTCAAAATCCTATTTTTTTTTAATTCCTCCTAATGATACCAAATTTTAGGTCTGTCATTGTTGCCTCACACTGATCACGACATAAACATTTGGTGACAGCACTACCTATGGGTCAGGAGTTATAAGACATTCATTAGTCATTATTAATGAAACTCACAAATTTGGTAATTACGTTTGACTGTATATGCTTATTTTGATTAAATTGATCTCATATTAATCTTTGGGTCATGCCGACAACACACATACCAATTATCCCATAATCTGCCAAACGTTCTCTTTGCCATTTTGATTTTGTTCAAACCATTCTTTTTTTTAACTCATCTTAGACTGTTGCTTCAACCTTCAGCAAAAAAAAAGCTATAGAATTTTCCAGTTGCTCTGTAGCTTGTTGCTTTGCTTGTTTATGATGTGGCTGCTTGGCCCCGATAATTGCTGCTTGCAGCTATATTTATCTAATTTATAGTTGGGGTTTTTTAAATGCTAAGAATGTTAAAAAATTTAACATGTTGCTTTAGTTATAGTTAGTGGTCACAGCTCTGGAAAATACATCATACAATAAAGCTTTTCTAAGCTTTTATCTATTAGATCAGTTTCTTTGTTGTATAAGAAATGCTCTTGGTAATTGTGTAAGCTGAATTCTGCTTGCATAGCATTTTGTTGCTGTTCATCAGCTATGAAAGTTATTCATTTGCACAATGTAATTTATTACAATTGAAGTCACCTTACACAAGGCTTTAGTGAAGGCGACCGCTGTTTGTTTTATTGAAGGACATTCTCATGTTGCTGCTTGTCCTTTTCCAGCTACAGTGTTATGACAACACTGTTTGGACGCTATTAGTCAAGGTCAGCAGAACACATCGCCCTGCGTTCTTCTGATGTAGGACGGCTTGTGTCTGCTTTGAGAGACACGCAGCTTTCTGTTAATCTTCAGTGCCTTTTTTTCCATGCCGCTGTTGTGATTATTATCATGTCTTTGGAAATGGAAATGAAATGCGAATCCTTGTCTATTGCTATAAATGTTTTATTGCCTGAGTTTTTTTGTTGTGGTTAAAGAGCGTGTTTATAGTGTGAGAGAAAATCAATTTCATTGAGGTTAAATTTATAACAGCAAAGATAGAGATAGGCTTTTCATTGCTAGAAGAAATCAAATGGGAAAGACAGGCATCGTCTGAAGTGGAAAGAAGCTGGTATACGGAGAGAGAGAGAGAGAGAGAGAGTGAAGGAGTTAAGTTAGCATTTCTGAGTCTGAGAAACACCATTAGCTAATTGACTCATAAAGTAGCAGAAGCCAGAGACTGACTTCTTTTATATGTCGTACATGACCAATATGTGTCAACAAACAACATCACCATGTTTCTTATAAAGATCTGCAGAAGCTGCAAAGTCTCATGTTGCCATTTGATTTCTGCTACTGTACCAAACCAAACTGAAAACAATTTCTTCGTTTTGTAACTATAACAAAAAAAATCTAAAGTAATAATGAGAGTGGTGCTTGCTGATGATGTTAGATGTTCTAAGTGGTTGAATAGGTGATTTGATTGATTTTCTCTGCCAGTTTGTTGGGATTTAGAGTGTTGGATGTGTGTGGCTAGCTGCCTGCATCTTTTTACAGTGTGTTTGCTATACATTTTTGCGTTTGGTACAGTATATGCTTTTATCAAACTGACTTATGTTACATGGAAGTACAACATACACAAAATCCATTAAATATTATCCATATTTTTTGCAGAGCAAAAATTAATAACCACTTCATTTTGAAGCCCACAGTATAGTGTATATATGGTATATATGGTATATATGGTATATATGGTATATATATATATATATATATATATATATATATATATATATATCTTTTTTGTTTTAAGAGGTTTTTTATGTGGAGTCAAATGAATCTGATTGTTGTTGGATCCATGTATTTGTGTTTTAAGAAATTATATTGGATACATATTTTTTTATCTCTCTTTAATAGTTCGGTTCATTCATTCATTCATTTTCTTGTCGGCTTAGTCCCTTTATTAATCCGGGGTCGCCACAGCGGAATGAACCGCCAACTTATCCAGCAAGTTTTTACGCAGCGGATGCCCTTCCAGCCGCAACCCATCTCTGGGAAACATCCACACACACATTCACACACACACTCATACACTATGGACAATTTAGCCTACCCAATTCACCTGTACCACATGTCTTTGGACTGTGGGGGAAACCGGAGCACCCGGTGGAAACCCACGCAAAGGCAGGGAGAACATGCAAACTGCATACAGAAACCCCAACTGAGTTGAGGTTCGAACCAGCGACCCAGCGACCTTCTTGCAGTGAGGCGACAGCACTACCTACTGCACCACTGCCTCGCCTGAGTTCGGTTCATAATATCGAACTTTTTGTACTTTTGTTATTGTATCCCTGAATTTTCTTAAAGTATCAAACTAAACTAATTCAATTCAAAACTTCCAATACCCAAGAATATTATGATATACTGTTAATTAGCTGATTTTCTGATTTTCTTTTTTGCAGTGAGGGATGTGCAGTATTGATAAACTATATCAAATGATTTGTTCAAAATAGCTGATCTTTTTAGAAAAATAAACAAGTAACTTATTTATGTCATTGAATCTTCAGCTGACTTGGTTAATTAAAAAACTAGTTTATACTGTAACAAGAGACGCAAATGTTCTGCTCCAGCATTGATTGGAAACACATTAACAAGCTAAACATAACAAAAATAAATGCAATATTGTGTCTGAAATGCAGTTCATCCAACCTTAACCTCATTTTGGTTGAGATGCTTTTCATGCTTTGTTGTTTGACAAACATAAACATGCAAACATAGTTATAATAATTCCTGTTGCTTACGGTGCAAGTAACATTGCAACTGCATGTAAACTCTCATTGCAAAAACATTAAAACATTGTAAATACAGTTGGCTATATAATAGTAGTTGTGTAAGTACCTATGTTGATTAAGGGTTTCTCTGCCTGACTACAGGCAACCAAGCTTTCTTACAGAGAGATGGGGAGATGCTGACCTTCAAAAGGTTCAGAGGGAGGATCGATTGTACATTTAACTAACTTGCATGTGCAATAATCCAGAGCTCATAAATAGGCAGCTTCCCCCCAAGCATGTGTCATACACTTATAATGACATGTAAACAAACACAGCTGACTTGTGCAAACTTATCTACTTGTCCTTTTGCACACATCTCTTATTTGTTGATGTGCATGCAGTGACATTCCTTGAGTTAAATGTTTTCTAAAGTTACATTTTATTATTATTATTATTATTATTATTATTATTATTATTATTATTATTATTATTATTATTATTATTATTGTTGTTATTATTATTATTATCATCATCATCATCATCATCATCATAATTCATTATTAATGCATGTAGTACTGGTTGTGTTCATATAATTCCCAATACATTACCTGTCTCATTATTCTAATTTGCAAATTGCTCATCCAGTTAAATGTAATATTTTACTGTATACCGGTGCCATATGATCATATCA